TTATCCTTGAACGATGCTCTGTGCTTTTTCATTCTTCAGGTTTATTATTTTTATCAACAAAAATATCAAACTGGTCAGAAAAATTTAAAGATTTTGAAATCTTAACAGATTGGAAGAAATATAAGAATCTAGATAAACCGAGACTCAAATTGAACGAATATCACCTCGTAAAGATCAATTTTACAATCTACTTGGAAGTAAAAACTCAAAAATCTAATATCACTTTTCTACTCGATAAGAAGAATTTTAATCTTTTGCAGAATTATACTTGGCATTGTTATAAACATAGAAATATTTATTATATTAGAACATATAATAAAGGAAAACCTAATTTATATTTTCATCGATTGATTTGCTCTAAATAGAAAATAGTAGACCATATTAACAGATGTGGACTTGATAATCACGAATGCAATCTTCAAGAAACTACATCGAGAGAAAATCAATTAAATTGTAAATTAAACAAAAATAATTCTGGTGGGAAGTAAATAAACTTAAATTTAAAAGTTTTTATATTAACAAAAAAAGAACTAGTGAACAAGCTAAGCAACAAGTGATAGATTTTAAATTAGCTCACAATAAGAAAACTGGTAACAGAAATGGTTATTCTGTAATTTTTTAGTTTTTATTTTATTGTTTTTTGATTCTTTAAATTTTTAATAAATTATAATTGTTATTTATAATATAAACATAATACATTCTTTGTCAAATTTCGAAAATACAAAAAAAAGTAAATATAGTCCAAAATAAACTGTAACAATGTTTACAAATAACACTTCAACTACATGAATCTTTTTCATTTCAGTGAGATTTACGTATGGAATTATAAAAATCGAATACAAAAACTTTCTGTAAATTATCTTAATATAGTGAAAAACAATGAGTATATTGAAAAAATTATAAAATTTCAACAAATTCACAATATTTCTCATGTATTGATTATCGAATCGCAACAATGTTCCAATATTATTAAATAAGCAAAAAATATAATTCGAAATAAAATCTTCAAATTCTTTGATATTACAGCTCTATAATGGTCTCTTTCATCTTCAGCATCTCTCAAAACAATTTTTAATGCATTGTTTAATCGTGTCAAATTTTCATTTGCTGCATGAATCTGAATATTATCTGCTTCAAATTGATTTCTCTTAGTTACAAGTTCCTCATTTCTACTTCTCAATTCATCTTTATCAGCATTTAAAGCGCATATTCTTTGTTCTAATTCATAAATTCTTATTTGCAACCTAGAATTTTCTGTGATCACTATCTCTCCACCTGTAATTCTCGGTTCTATTTTTGTTAAAAATCATTTTTCATGACCAGTTTGATATTTTTGTTGATAAAAATAATAAACCTGAAGAATGAAAAAGCACAGAGCATCGTTCAAGGATAA